CCAAAATCAAAATACATGGTTAGATTCAGCATATCAAAGAACCCCATATATTCAATTTTTGTTGAAATCAAACAAAGTTTAATTTTGGACCCCAACTTGAACAAACTTGAAAACTGGTCCCATAATCAAAAATCTAAACACATGTTTAGATTCAGCATATCAAAGTACCCCAAGAATTCAATTTTTGTTAAAATCAAACTAAGTTTAATTTTGGACCCTTTGGACCTTAATGTAGACCAATTTAAAAAAAAGGGACCCAAAATTAAAAATCTAAAAACACGGTTAGATTTGGCATATCAAAGAACCCCAATAATTCAATTTTTGATGAAATCAAACAAAGTTTAATTTTGGACCCTTTTGACCTCAATATGAACCAATTTGATAGCGGGCCCACAAAATAAAAAATCTAAATACATGGTAAGATTCAGCATATCAAAGAACCCCATATATTCAATTTTTGTTGAAATCAAACAAAGTTTAATTTTGGACCCCAATTTGGACCAACTTGAAAACTGGGCCAAAAATCTAAAATCTAAATACATGTTTAGATTCAGCATATCAAAGAACCCCATATATTCAATTTTTGTTGAAATCAAACAAAGTTTAATTTTGGACCCCAACTTGGACCAACTTGAAAACTGGTCCCATAATAAAAAATCTAAACACATGTTTAGATTCAGCATATCAAAGAACCCCAAAAATTCATTTTTTGTTAAAATCAAACTAAGTTTAATTTTGGACCCTTTGGACCTTAATGTAGACCAATTTAAAAAACGGGACCCAAAATTAAAAATCTAAATACACGGTTAGATTTGGCATATCAAAGAACCCCAATAATTAAATTTTTGATGAAATCAAACAAAGTTTAATTTTGGACCCTTTTGACCTCAATATGAACCAATTTGATAGCGGGCCCACAAATAAAAAATCTAAATACATGGTAAGATTCAGCATATCAAAGAACCCCATATATTCAATTTTTGTTGAAATCAAACAAAGTTTAATTTTGGACCCCAATTTGGACCAACTTGAAAACTGGGCCAAAAATCTAAAATCTAAATACATGTTTAGATTCAGCATATCAAAGAACCCCATATATTCAATTTTTGTTGAAATCAAACAAAGTTTAATTTTGGACCCCAACTTGGACCAATTTAAAAACGGGACCCAAAATTAAAAATCTAAATACACGGTTAGATTTGGCATATCAAAGAACCCCAATAATTCAATTTTTGATGAAATCAAACAAAGTTTAATTTTGGACCCTTTTGACCTCAATATGAACCAATTTGATAGCGGGTCCACAAATAAAAATTCTAAATACATGGTTAGATTCAGCATATCAAAGAACCCCAAGAATTCAATTTTTGATGAAATCAAACAAAGTTTAATTTTGGACCCTTTTGACCTCAATGTGGACAAAGTTGATTACGGGGCCCAAAAATCAAAAATCTAAATACATGGTTAGATTCAGCATATCAAAGAACCCCATATATTCAATTTTTGTTGAAATCAAACAAAGTTTAATTTTGGACCCCGATTTGGACCAACTTGAAAACTGGGCCCATAATCAAAAATCTAAATACATGTTTAGATTCAGCATATCAAAGTACCCTAAAAATTCAATTTTTGTTAAAATCAAACTAAGCTTAATTTTGGACCCTTTTGACCTTAATGTAGACCAATTTGAAAACGGAACCAAAAATTAAGAATCTAAATACACGGTTAGATTCGGCATATCAAAGAACCCCAATAATTCAATTTTTGATGAAATCAAACAAAGTTTAATTTTGGACCCTTTGGACCTCAATGTGGACCAATTTAAAAACGGGGCCCAAAATCCAAAAACTTAATACACGGTTAGATTCAGCATATTAAAGAACCCCAAGAATTCAAGAATAAAACCCCATTGAAATTGATCAAGAAATAAGCAATTTATACGAAGTATCTTCTTTTGCACAATACTGTGCAATTGAATATTTCTTGCTATTGTGCAATACTGTACAATTGACAATTTCTTGCTAGTGCGCAATATTGTGCTATTGGATATTTCTTGCTATTGCGCAATACTGTGCAATTGAAGATTTCTTGCTATTGCGCAATACTGTGCAATTGAAGATTTCTTGCAATTGTGCAATACTGTGCAATTGAAAATTTCTTGCTATTGCACAATACTTATTATATAATAATTTACACATCCGGTTTGGTGTGTATCTCCTACCATATCATTATTATTTGCTTTTAAATATTAATCAGAAATAACCAACTTAAAATGGAAAATTTTAAAAGAAAAAAAAAAGGGAAAAAAAGAAAAAAAAAGAAAAAAAAAAATTCCCCCCCCAAATTTTTTAAACCCCCTTATGATTCATCACCCCCAAAATCAATCCCAGCCTTTCCTTTGTGGTATGGTACCTTGCAGTACAATTTCAGAGAGATCCATACACTTGAACACAAGTTATTGTCTGAAAACTAGAAAAATGCTTATTTTTGGCCCCTTTTTGGCCCCCAATTCCTAAACGTTTCGGGCAATTACCCCCAAACTCAATTCCAGCTTTCCCTTTGTGATATGGAACCTTGTAGTACAATTTCAGAAATATCCAAACACTTACACACAAGTTATTGTCATGAAACTAGAAAAATGCTTGTTTTTTGCCCCTTTTTTGGCCCCTAATTCCTAAAATTTTGAGGCAATTACCCCCAAAATCAATTACAGCCTTTCCTTTGTGATATGGAACCTTGTGGTACAATGTCAGAGAGATCCATACACTTACACACAAGTTATTGTCTGGAAGTTACAAAAATGCTTATTTTTGGCCCCTTTTTGGCCCCTAATTCCTTAACTGTTGGTACCATAACCCCCAAAATCAATCCCCACCTTCCTTTCGTGGTATTGAACCTTATGGTAAAATTTCATGGAGATCCATTTACTTAAACTAAAGTTAGAGTGCGAAAACCAATGTGTCTTCGGACGACGCCGGACGACGCCAGACGACGACGACGACGACGACGACGACGACGCCAACGTCATACCAATATACGACCAAAAAATTTTCAATTTTTGCGGTCGTATAAAAACAAGTTCAAAAATATTGATTGATGCTGATACTTATTTACCCCTCAGGTTGACAGGTAAACAGCATCTGTCTGATTACCAATCAACTCTTGTTAATAAAATTGAGAATGGAAATGGGGAATGTGTCAAAGAGACAACAACCCGACCATAGAACAGACAACAGCAGAAGGTCACCAACAGGTCTTCAATGCAGCGAGAAATTCCCGCACCAGGAGGCGTCCTTCAGCTGGCCCCTAAACAAATATATATACTAGTTCAGTGATAATGAACGCCATACTAAACTCCAAATTGTACACAAGAAACTAAAATTAAAAATAATACAAGACTAACAAAGGCTAGAGGCTCCTGACTTGGGACAGGCGCAAAAATGCGGCGGGGTTAAACATGTTTATGAGATCTCAACCCTCCCCCTATACCTCTAGCCAATGTAGAAAAGTAAACGCATAACAATACGCACATTAAAATTCAGTTCAAGAGAAGTCCGAGTCTGATGTCAGAAGATGTAACCAAAGGAAATTAACAAAATGACAATAATACATAAATAACAACAGACTACTAGCAGTTAACTGACATGACAGCTCCAGGCTTCAATTAAACTGATTGAAAGATTATGTCTTCATCATATGAATATCAGGCACAATCCTTCCCGTTAGGGATTTAGTATCATACCATAATAACATATATGAGAAGAACATAACCCGTGTCATGCCAACAACTGGTTTTTAAATAAATGTGTTTAGTGCCGATGCAAAGACCCTATAAGTGAATCAATATTAACGCCAAAATATGCAATCTTTAATGACCTGACAACAGTATCGTAATTATATCCCTTCTTGATAAGTCTATTTAAAGGTTTTGTTAGCTTCAGAGGTGAATACTGACATTTTTGTGCTTTATAAAGAATATTTCCATAAAAAATTGGATGTGAAATACCTGAACGTATAAGAAGTCTGCATGTTGAGCTATATTTACGAATGATGTCCTTATACCGATGATAAAATTTAGTAAATGTTTTGACTAGTTTGTGATATCGAAAACTGTTTTGATGACAGGGTATTTTTTAACCAGAGCTTGTTTTTACTGAAATTAACTCTTTGGGGCATATGGTACAGTTACGGGGGAGGTGATAATGTCACTAACGTAAAATATAATTTATCACAAAGACAAAATGTGACTTATCAGGAAACGATGTATTTTTTCACTGATTTAAACATTAGTACATAGAACCTTATTTTTTTTAATGACGTTTGGCTTATTAATGTTGGAAGATTATTTGCATCATTTTTTATTAAAAAAAAATCACAAATAAATTATTTTTTTATAGTGTTTTTACAAAAAATATGCTAGTTTTTATATTTTGAAACAAAAAAGTAAGGGTTTTCTGCCTAAAGGATAGAAATGTCCAAAAAAACAAAACTTTTTATAAATTTCTAAAATTAGCCTATTAATCCCTGTATTAAGCAAACAACGGTATATTTTTTGTAACATTTTTAAACTGACCATGCAAAATATAGCTTATTTGCAAATTTTCTGACAAAAAATCCCTGTGGAATCAAAACTGTATTGTATGCCCATGATGCCCTTAATCTCGCTTTTATGATCTGAAAAGTGTGCCAGTGTTAGGAAAAACTGTTCAGCCTAAAAGATGGACAAAACCACATTTTTTTTCTTAGATTGTATTATAAAATATTTTACAGTTATGGTTCAGTGTTATTCTAAGTGGTCAAAGAGTGAAAAAAGAAAAACCCTATTTGTTTAGCAAAAAATCAATGTTTTGGAAAACCTAGGCCTGGTACTGACAATTATTTAAATTCTATTAGCAAATCAACTAAAGCTGGCTATAGCCTAAGTAACTGTGTGTGCTGATTTTTATGGGTCTGCTTTTTAAATTAAAATAAAATGTATCAAGAGAGATAACTCTAATTACTTCAAATCCACCAAAGTCTCCAAAATCATCCTCTTCTTCTCCAGGGTCCATTTATCTGTTTCTGTAAAGCTGAAATACAAAACACAATTTGAAATTTTAATGTTTCATTTTGATTAAGTCTAACATTCCTTGTCAAAATTTTTAATCATCAATAATATTTCAACACACTATTATCTACACCTACACGAACCAGACTTTATGTATAGATTATCCAGTTTTCCACACATTGATGTTGTAAAATATCAGCCGCAAACCACAATGTCAACCTCCTTCACATGAGGAGGGATATATAGATGACAAGAAGGATGATAAGTTATGTCACAAGTCTTTGATAAATTGATTGATTGATTATTTGGTGTTTAACGCCACTTTCAACACTATTGTGCTATTTCGTGGCGGTCAGTTTTTATTGGTGGAGGAAGCCGGAGCACCTGGAGAGAACCACTGACACACGGTAGAAAAACTAACAATCCTAGTCAATTAAGGTTGGAGTCAAGTGCACCTGCCACTTGTGGGATTCGCACACGCATCCTCAGTGTTGACAGACTAGTGATACAGTAGTACGACTACTTAGACCACTCGGGCACTGAGGCCCCAGTCTTTGATAAAGGTAAACCAACTAATTTTAGCATGCAAGCTATTTTTAAAGAATAGAAAAATAACAAGAATATAATTCATTGCAAATATATAAAACTTTCTTATAATAAATAATTTAAGGATAATTAAGAAATTGCTGAAATTAATCCCAGTAAAATCAACTAGAAAGAATTAAATATGAAAATAACAAGCATTCTGAGAGTATTGCATGGTAATACATAGTCCCCCTACCGGTTAAAAAGCATTATACTGAAACAACTAACTTGATCTATAACTTATCATGGTGTTAAACTAAACAACGACTATGAAACCAATATCTTCAAGCATGACAAAAAAAGTGTGGAAAACTGATTATTTGCGTAATTTTCTAAGTCAGAGGACCATAACTCTGCAAAATAATCATCCAAACCAAACAAAATTCAAACTTGATCTGTAACTTGTCATGGTAAAACTATATACCAAATATCAAATCAATATCTTCAAGCATAACAAAAAAGAGTTTGGAAAACTTATAATTTGCATGAGTTTTTTAAGTCCAAGGACCATAACACTGCAAAAAAATCATCCAAACCAAACAAAATTCAAATTTGACCTGTTACTAGTCATGGCTAAACTATTCACCAAATATCAAATATCTTCAAGCATAATGAAAAAAAATGTGGAAAACTGATTACTTGCCTGAATTTTCGAAGTCCACATGGTCCAGGGACCTTAACTCTGCACAGAATCATCAGACCTGAACATGATCCAAACTTGAACTGTAACTGGTCATGATAAAACTATATACAAAATATCAAATCAGTATCTTCAAGCACAAAGATAAAAAGCATGGACAGATAGACAGACAGACAGAGTGCAAATCTAAAGTCTCCTTTGACTTCATCGGTAGGGGACTAATAAAGAATCTGTAAAAATAAGTTGGTTGGTTAAAAATAATTCTACAGATCAAATACAGTAGATCAATTATTCACACTGATTGCAAATATTATCTTAATAAGAACAGCCAAGCTATAAGAACAATGAAAATGAGATCAAAAAGGGGTGTGTCTTATGACCAAATCCACAGTTAACTTGTTGGTGTAGGTATATAAGAAACTAGCCTAATCATAAAATTTAACATTGATAAAAGATCTTTTAAAATGAGGTCAAGGCCATACAAAACCAGTCACACCAACATGTACACCTAACAGTGAAAGTAGCATAGACTATGAAACTGACATACAGCAAGGGAAAATAGAGAAATTTGAAAAATTTTCTGGATTTCAATCACAATTACGCCTAGGAAACATAGATCACAGAGTTCAACAAACTGAAAATTCAGGTCAGATAGTTCATTTGTGACAACAAATATAATGTGAAAAAATGTAAAATAAATGTGGAATGTGTCCATGGGACACAGATGATGCCCCCGCTTGCAAATCATATAAAATTCTAAACGGACATAACTGAAGAACGGTAAAAGTGACCCTACCCAAATTTCAAACTTGATCTGAGTTTTGTGGAAATAAGTATTGTGTATAAGTTTTATAAAATTTGGTTGAGGCAAACTTAAGTTAGAGACTGGAAACGAAAAATTCAGCAATTTTTCCATTTGAAAAGGGGCATAACACTAGAACAGTTAAAGTGACACCACCATAATTCAAACTTGATCTGTATTTTGTGGTAATAAGCATTGTGTATAAGTTTCATAGCATTTGGTTGAGGCAAACTAAAGTTAAAGAACAGAAACGATAAATTCAGCAATTTTTCCCTTTGTAAAGGGCATAACTCTAAAACGGTTAAAGTGACACCACCAAAATTCAAGCTTGATCTGTATTTTGTGATAATAAGCATTGTGTATAAGTTTCATAGCATTTGGTTGAGGCAAACTAAAGTTAGAGAACGGAAACAAAAAATTCAGCAATTTTTCCATTTGTAATGGGCATAACTCTAGAACGGTTAAAGTGACGCCACCAAAATTCAAACTTGATCTGTGATTTGTGATAATAAGCATTGTGTATAAGTTTCATAACAATTGGTTGAGGCAAACTAAAGTTAGAGAACGGAAACCAACTTTAGGACGTACGAACAGACGGACAAGGGTAAAACTTAATGCCCCCTCCGCTACGGCGGGGGCATAAAAATCTCAATTGTTGAAGCATGCCTCAGTGTTTCTGGTAAAAATAAAATGCTACACTGAGCGCAGCCTGATACGACTGCAGAGGTCAAACCATGAAAACAGTTGTGGCAAATTTGGACACAATATTCAAGCTTGACACTGTTTGAATTTGGATTGTGATCAAATTTTTGACATAATATAGGTTTCTGACACAAAATAAATGTGGTCAAAGATCTTAAAAATCTATTGCTCATTACTGTGTAATGGAAGATTTCTTCTTTAAAACTTTTCAAAAATTGAAAATTTGAAAAAATATTTTAAAAAATATGAAACCCTTAAAAAAATTGGAAAAAAAATCCCCCCCAAACTTTTTAACCCCCCCCCCCCCCCTTGGACAATTACACCCACACTCAATCCAAGCCTTCCCTTTGTGATATGACACCTTGTGGTACAATGTCAGAGAGATAATTTTGGACATCAGAAAATAATTCATGATTTCATATTTCACTTAAATATATTATAAAACTTTAACTGAAATCAAAGAACTTTGAATGTTTGCATATTTAGTGGCCATTTTGAATATAGCAGCCAAAGAATAAATTTTGGCACCAAACATTCTACTAAGGGTTACGCTATACTTTAGGTCTTTTTTGGTTTTATCAGCTCTGCAATGTTTGTATTAGGCTTTGTATTTAAAAATATATTGTCATCATTAACATGCATGAAATATTTGCCCCTGGATGTTATGCAACCAACAATCAATCAATTACATATTTGGCCTCCAGCATCACTGAAGAGACATTTATTGTGGAAATATGCATCTGGTGCAGTAAAATTGGTAGTTGTTATTATAGTATATGAGAATCAGACCTAATCATGAAAACTAAACATTGACCAATGAACCACAAAACTGAGGTCAAGGTCAGAACTTACAATAATTCTATACACCCAATATAATCGACAGTTTTGCTTATAGTGTATGAGAAACAGATCTTAACACGAAAAACTAGATGTTGACCAATGAACCATAAAATAAAGATCAAGGTCAGAGAATCCCTGTTGTACAGACATGTAATCAAGAGACCATAACGTAAACCAATAAACCATGAAAATTAGAATAGATCAAGGTGAGATGAATCCTTGATATGAACTCCCTACATTCATTGAATTCAAATGGTTTAATTCCTTATCTAACAATTAATATGGTGGCTGTAATTATGCAAAAGGTAAATAACTTTATCTTCCCTTTTTCCATTTCACTGAGTTATTGTTGGAATATTAAATGCCAATTTCAATTTTATTTTTATTTAATTTTTCCAATTTCCATTGTTTAAGAAAACCAACATGTGTAACAGAAAATTTGATCCGATAGCAAAATGTGCCCCAAAAACTTTGTTTTTTTTACATCGTGATGACCGTGAGGGCATTCCAATGTATTGTTGCCACAAAGATTTGACTTTCGTTTTTGACTGGTAACTGATCGTATAAATACGCAGACATTATCGAGTGCAAAATAACATTCCTATAATCTTTTGTTATAAATTCATATCTTCAATGAATACTCATAAAAATATTTTTTTTTAGAACATAGATTTATAATATGAAAATGTTTTGTCGTTAGAAATATATATATAGGTAAAAAATCATTAATATCTATGCACACGAAATTGTGTTAACGCATGCGGAAGAATATCTCAAGAACGTTTTATGGGAAAATATTAATGCCTACTCAAATCCAATTTAAAAAAAAAATCGAATTATTACAGAAGAGTGTCCACCATGCACTTGCACTGCACTATTATTAGAATAGTAGAATAGAATGATATACAAATGGATGAAAATTATATATACATGTAACTGTTATATACAAATATTAATATAATATATAACAACAAACCAGACTCGGGTATACTGATTTGTATCACTACAATATAATAGTTATTACAGTGAGGTTAAATTCCCTGTCATTTATTCATCATCCATGCACGAACTTGTCTCAGAAAAAAAATATATCTATGTACATTAACCTGACTTTCAGGTATTGAGATGATATAGTTATTCTGAGATAAGTGCTTGTGGTTATCCAATGTTCAGTACTTCAGTACTTTGATTAGTTCATGCAGTTAAGTAAGTCCATGTTCATAATTTTAATAGAAAGTTTGTGTCTTGCCTACGATTGCAGCTGTCAGTCAGGGGCGGATTCAGGCGGGGGCATGCACCCCCCCCCCCAACCCCCACCTTAAATTTGCAAAGCATGGGTTTTCCTCAGCTTAAGGTAGCAACACACAGTTAGGAGTGTAGTTTTGCATTTTGGCCATGGTGGAATTTTCAAATATGAAAGTCATTGTGCAACAAAATTCATTTTTAGACAGCT